GCCTTTGCCGAAGGCGACACGTGGGTCGTCGCTGGCCATCTTCTCTGGACAGCGGCCAGCGCAGCAAGCCTTACTACACCCTCCGTTATTCTCAGGCGCACGGTTAACGGCGCGCCTCACTGAAGCATCTGTGCCCCTCCTTCCCTCCCCGAAGGCTACTTTCCCACCCGCGAGTCCCCTTAGCGTTCAAGCAACTTGGCATCGATGCAGGACGCACGAGCAAAGATACTTTCATTAAAAGCCCTTGACCTGACAGGGCCCTGATCACATCTTCAAAAGCAAGCTAATCCCCAGACAGACGAGAGGAGGCGGCGGCCATCCCAGGACACCCTGGGAGCAAGCCCGACCTGTGGGTCCGCGATTCAGCCGAGGCCTCGCCCTGCCTCCGAGCCACTCACCTGCTTCAGGAGGAAGAGCGAGAGAACCGCGCACAGCGTGAAGAATCCTGCCACCACCATCATGATAACAGCCACGGCCAGGTTCCAATGCAGCTCGGACAGCGCCGCAATCCATCCGCTGCAAGACAGAGGGGAGCGGGGCGAGCTCAGCGCGCGTTCGGTTCACAGAATGAGGTGGAGCAGAGGGAGAAGAGGCACCGACGGCCGCACGAGAGCATCTGGGGGAAGGTTACAGGGAAGCGCAAACCCAGACATAACGGCTGTGGAAACAGGGACCCGGAGCTCATCCAGGCACTCGTTCGGGGGCCAGAATTTCCATTACCATTTTCAGAAGCAGTCTACCTCTACGCAAGAGAATCCCGCTTGCCCCACCCGCGTTACAGCCCCGGCCCCCGGAGCACCCCCCTTAAGCAGCTATCGGTACCCTTGGCGCCGTCACAGATCAAGTCACTTCCACGAGCACCTTCTGAAAGTTCAGCCAAGCAGCGCAGAGGCAGGCTGCTACGCCTGCACGGGAAGAGATCAGATCTGGAGCCTAGCCCTACGTGTCACCGTGACAGCTCTGCGTGGCCAGGGATGTTAAGCGTTGGGAGAGGGAGAAAAGGGAAGGAAGGGATGAAGTAAAGAGCTACAGAAAGGAGGACACTGGCAGCTGTTGAAGTGAAGGGGCAGGGAGGATGCTGGGAGTTATCAGTGCTCGGCTGTGGGCGAAAATACCAAGATTGCCTCACTCAAAGCACCCTCCTGGCTGCTGGAGAAAGGAATCCCTCCAACTGCTAAACCAAGCAAGTCGTGTGCCGCCAGGGGAGAGGGAGTCAAGTGAGCCGAACCGTCCCATCGGATGTGCTGCACAACTTCTTGCTCGTTACAAGGAGGCGGAAAGGCGCACCGTGCGCTACGGCCAAAAATAAACGCGCCGTCTGGCTTGAGGAGACACAGCAGAAAGCTCAACGCGTGCTCTCCAAAGTCAGACTGAGAACGGAGTGCCCCCTCCCAGTCCCCCACGACTAAGGCAGCACCAGCTAGCAGGGGAGGGAGCACGAGGACAGCTTTGCCCATGAGCCGTTCTGCAGGCAGCGGGCAAAAATAGACAGCAGTTTCACCGCGCTCATCACCTGAAGGCTCCCCCTCAGGAGAAAAACCACTAGCTGTTAAACCTTCTCACTGTTCACAGTAACTCGGGAATCCGATCCGCGGCCAGCCAGCGCAGCAAGGCGAAAAGAAAGCTACTGCTCTCACTGCAGGGGACGACTGCTGACAAGGGGCCTGCTGGACCCACTCCAGAAGCCCAGACTCACCCTTCTGTGCAATGCCATCAAGAAAGGGCGAGGGTAAAACCCTCTCTGCCTATTTTTTGAAGCACAGCCCACCGACAACACACTCGAGAGAAATTCAGGAAGAGTTTGGGGACAGGATCGGGCTGCTAGCAGCAGCGCGGAGTTCAGCCGTATCCAGACTCCGGGTGAGAGATCACTCAGCCCCCCACGCTACAGCCTCTATCAGGGAAGGCTCCCTTTTAACACAAGGCAGATGCGGTCAACACTAGAGGCTCAGCATCGAGAAGGGATAAGTATTACACGTATTACGTGAGGGGGGAGGCGGCAGAGGAGGTGTAGAAGATTCCATGTACTCCTTTCAGCGCTGGCTGGCAGCGGCAGCGGAAAAGGTGCATGCCTTTGCTGGGACTAGGACGGGAAGAGCGGAGGAGAGGGGCAGGGCGGGTGGGGGCCCCGCCAG